TTTACAAGTATTTGAAATGCACATGAGATTATTCAAAATGTGCATGAGCGCCGTACTCATTCACCACACACACGCACGCACGCACGCACGCACGCACGCACGCACGCACAGCTCATCTTACCCGCCAGTGTTGAGGTGTGTCTGAAGGCTCGGACCTGGGAGTCTGATAGTCCGGTGAGAAGAGAGATGACTGTGTCCATCATGTACTCATCATAGATGATACTGTATTGACACTGGCGCACTAGAACAGCAATGAATTCACAAAAGCTTGATTTGAACTTCTTCCATTGGGGCCCTGCTATGGTCAATGGGTAGTCACCGCTGTCCTGCAGAGGCCACAAAGAGAAGAACATCAGTAAATGCAATGACACACCACTACGATTAGTTACCATTTCTATCTGCAAAAAAGTTCGAACAGTTCTTAGCAAAGAGTTTTGAAGTTGATATTAATAATCTAAAATGATACTTCGGAGGTCTATATTAAATGTGGAAATAATTATACTGAATAGAGTGAAGTTACCTCATCAAATTCCTCTGTCATTCGTCGGATGATCTCAGAGTTCTGCATGTTGCGGAACATTTCTCCACTGACCACACCTGATAAGCACAGAGTGGTAAGTCAGAGGACAATTCACTTAATGGTCAAGAACAACAACAACGTAGAGAACCAAATATGTCTGAGGGGTTCTGTAAGGACACGTAGAATCAATAATTTACTTCAAACACATTTGAAAAAGGACTGATCCCAGGGTAACAAGTAACACATACAATACAGTACTTGCCTTTACATCCTGAGCATTGGATGAAGAAATTGATGAGATCTAGTAGCGCAACGTCTCTGTCATGTTTATACGACTCAATCCAGTCATCAACAACAGACTGCAGGAAGGTTGGGATAGATTGATATTAAATCAGAAAGTAATTAATGGAATCTAGCATGAGTGACAAATATTTTATACAAAGTGGCAATTATAAAAATCTTTCCATTCTTACCTGCATTGCACTCCTGCCCAGCTTCACCACCTCAAACAGCATCATGTTTTCCATGCCATTTTCTTGGTGGTGGCCGTTTAACCGACCTGCTCCCTTCCCTCCTTTGCCTTTCTCCCCGGCTGCCTTCTTGCCCTTCTTCCCACCCTGCAACACCATAAAAGAACATAAGGATTAATAAAAGCGTGAGAATCATCACAGTTATTAAGAGAACTTAATTTTACACAACAGAAATATCTATCACGGAAATATAAAATGGAGAACATGCTGTTTTATTTGACCAGAATGTCTTGACCCAGGTCGAGTGCATCAAGCCATTGTGCCCTTTCATACCTTTCCTTTCGCTGTGTTTGCAACTCTTCCATCAGGCTCCTCTGAGAAGTCTGTGTCTGAAGAGAATCGAGTGTCTGTGTCGCTGGTAGACACAAGAAAACATTAGTATGTAAATTCAAACCAGCCTCAAACATTGACAATAAATAACAACAGGAAGCATGTACTTACTGAGTAAAGGAGAACTCTGATGGTATTTCTGGTGCTGCTATCATTTCTGTAACATCTTCTGGATAACTTCAACTTATGACTGGCTTGAGATCCTCAGAGAATACCAGACAGGGGGGGGTTGCATGTGACCTGGAATATGAAATCGAGTGATTAAGAGGGCTACACGTGCACACCCGTCACACGTCCCAACGCGGCAGAAACAATGAATGTTAGAAAGCAAACATCAAGTGTGTGCATGTTTGCAGAAGCACATCCCTGTAGTGAGCAAATGCTACTTTGATGCCATTCAAGAGGGAAAAAAACGGTTTCACATGGTAACGGGGGCGGAAACCACTGCTCCTGTCACACTCAGCCGCCTTCCCATTGGCTCCCTCGCTTTCTCCGCTTCCCTTGGTTTACTGAAAACGTCACGCAACAAAGATTGGAGTGTCTTCCTCAATGGCCAAATATGGCACTGCCCTATACGCCCCATTCATATCTCAGCCAATCAGGAGGCAGTATCAACATCAACAAGATACCGCAGGCCACAGAGAAACTATTGCATGGCTGTGATGTGTAAATTAAAATACATAAATCCAAGAGAGGAGAGTAGACATAACTTTTGAAATCAGAATTCTTACTTTGTCTGAACTTTTTATTTTCTTCAAACAAAAAAGGGGAAGTGGACAGAAGCAGGAGGAACAACGGATCTGACTTGAAACAGCTGAAATAAACTCCACCTGTAATAGAACCACACATGGCGCAATACTCTCCTCGTTTAGTCCTAGTTCCATCAGTGATGACCTGAAGTGGTCATTATTTAATTATAATACCGTCTGTGAGGAGACTTCCATGGTAAAGTGAAGGATCTGACTCAGGTGTAATTAATGCTGTGTGTTAATCACCATGGGATCCTCTCCTCCACACTGCCCTGGGAATGATGGCCCACATACACGGGGGTCTTATGAAGTCCGGTTATTATTCAAATACAATCAACAACTTAAAATGACCCACAGCATAAAACAATCAACCGAGGGAGAGCGATTCCTCGTGCGACACGGAGAGGGCTTTGTGTCTTAAACTGAACAGGGAGGTGTGTTGGTTGGAAAATATGCGCCCATGTCTATTTCCTTGATGTTGCGTGTGACAAGACGACGGGATTCTATGGGTGTAGACTGAAAAAGTGGCGCCAAATCGAGCGGCGTATCTCATAAACTTGTGCCTGCGAATCTAAACGAGACGGTTTTCAGACCAACCGCACGCGCGAGCCCCGACTTTGCGTGTTTGTGCGGTTCATCGGTGCCACAAAGTAGCGGCTCGGTTCCCTCCAACAACGCCGACGCCGCCACGCTCTCCGTCGGCTCCTGTCAAAATTGACACCGGTGCGCTGCTGGCGCTAGCGCCGCTACTAGCTAAGCTACCGAGGGTTTCGGCGTCTCCCCCCTCCTCCAGCGTCAGCTACATGAGATCGGATCAAGTAAGCGAGCACTTCTCCCACTGAACCCGGGCGCGATCTGCTCAACAACGAGGGCGACCGTCTGCTGAACGATTTAACGCCAAAACATCGGCGATATGCCATGTGTACCAATGCTATCGTAGTTGGACCATAATAACAAAACAACGCAAGCCCTACTGTACTAGCGCAAGCTAATGTTAGCCTGTGCACAATAACCCGAGTCCGTGCTGTTTCCAAGGACAATATCTGCCCTGTCTCCACACCAGTCACACACAATGCTCCCGCAGAGATCGAGCAAATAGCCACAAGGATTATCCACCAAATAAAGAGCAGGGAGCAACTACCACTGCTTAGCTATGCTAACTGCTACCGCTAACGTTACCTAAAAAAAACATCACGTCCTTGCGTCCTCCATCTTGCCTCGGGAGTTCCAGCACCGTATTGCATAAGCAACAAACACTTTGTTTACAAATGTATAAAGTGTAAGTAAGTCGCATGAAGCAATGAAACGATTCGTTTGGTTATTAACTAAATATTTTGCAGCCGGGAGCCAGAAAACGGGTTCGTTAGCGTGCTAACAACCGACGTAGCCATGTACCGCGAGCTAACGAAGCGACTTGGTTGAGGCAGACATCCGCGCTCGGGGCTCATCCACAGCTAGCCAGGCTAGCAAAATACAAATCAACTAACTTCCAGATAGCTCTCCGCCATTTTACGGCTAACTTACCTTGTTGTGAAATGTAATCCCGGCACAATCGGAACTTTTTACTCTTCTTGTAAAGCCTCCGTCTGAATCCCGCTACAATTCGCTAAAAAAGAGTTTAAAAGTCGCGGTCAGAGGCGGTTTCGGACGTTCTCTCACCCGCTTGCTCCGTAGTTCGGTTTGTTGTTTCGACGACCTGGGAGGAGGAAATCCTGGTGCAGAGCTGCCACCTAGCGGCCACAACACCCCGTTAGATATACTGTTGATCGGCTGACATCTAGTGGTCACTGACGAGTACTTCACCTCATGATCACTATCACTTTGTTCCCTGCAAATTAGATGGATAGATAGATAGATAGATAGATAGATAGATAGATAGATAGATAGATAGATAGATAGATAGATAGATAGATGTTGGACCATGAGGGAGGCAGGAGTGCCTGGGGGGACCATGCAAACGTCCATGTGAAGATTCCCGGGCTGGATTCAAGCCCTTGACCTGACACTGTGTCACCCCCTCCCCTTTATTTCCTTTTGTTCCCCTATATTACTTGTTCTTTCTCCATCACCCCAACCGGTCCTGGCAGAGGCCGTCCACACCGAGCCCGGTTCTGCCGGAGGTTTCTTCCATCTGGGAGTTTTTCCTCCCCGCTGTTGCTCGTGCTTGCTCGGTGTGGAACAAGTTGGATTTTGTGTTTCTTAAGATCTTGGACTTTTGGCAGTTCCCTGAGACAACTGTTTGTTGTGATACCGTGCTATATAAATACATTTGATTGATTGATTGATTGATAGATAGATAGAAGAACTTTATTGATCCTAATTGGGATATCGTTGTGTCACAGCAGCAGGTCAGGGACATTCACATAGAGACAAGGTGCAAAATTGCAGTATTTGTTTGCACATGACTTAAATAATAAATATGACTTTATGTAGTAAAATGAGTATGAATATAATATGAGCAAAATAAATAAATAAATGGAGTTATTGCAACAGTAATTACTAGTACGTACTATCAGAGGTGGGAATTGTTCAGTCAAACAGCAGGAGAAACTGAAATATACATCAACACTGACATCAACTTCATCACACCCCAAAAAAGAGAACTCAATTTGTCAAATATACTGTGAATCCTGATTGGATTGTCCTAAAAAAATATTATATCTCCCGTGGGTCCTTCGAAAAATCAGATCAAATTTCCACAATAACATTTTACGTAACTGGAAAAACTATGAGATTCATTAATTTTTTACTCATGTAACAACCCAAAGTGGGTAGTAAGACAGGATTGGTATCTTCTTTAACACCAAATCTAACCACTTATTGTACAAAAAAAAATCTAAATGTAGGAATAATTGAAGAAAACCACTGAAGTCCAGTCCAAACAAATTTATTCACTCTTGATGATACAGGAGATTGCATGGTGGAATGGTAAAATGATTTCACACCACACTCATTCAACACAAGCCCTCACCACAGTTAATTTTGTAAATGTAAGAGTAAAGTTGTGATTTACTAATCTGCCCTGAAATGTCCAAACAGAGCAGCAAGCATATAAAGGTCTTGAAGGTAAAGTACACCAATCTAAATAAATGAGCTGGCTGTATAAGTGTATGAAACATTACATCTGAAGTTCAAATCGATTGTGCTCAATGTCCAAAATGAAATGAAAAAAATAATAATCTAGAAACAAGTACTTTAAGCTTTTATACTGGAAAGGCACTTCTGGCAAGAATGAGTGTTATGATATGGGAAATATATTTAAGTGTGTATTTACAGACGTCAGTATTCATGATGGAAAATCAATAACTATTATCTCACCTCAATAGTAACAGCTATGTACCACTTCAGATTGTCCAAAAACATTTTCTTGTTCTTTCATTCTCATATTCATACAGACAACATGGTCCTCAAATATATTACAGGCTATCTACATTTAATATTAAAATACAATATTACAAAGTTAGGGGGAAAGCAGCATTGAAGTCAGCAAGCGTTTCAATTCCCTTAAGAGATGTAGGTCTTGAGCTTCTGTAAAATGGCACCACAGCAGATCGGGCACTTGATGAGTGACTTTGAACACTCGTCGCAACTGACCAGGTGACCGCATGGGATGAAGACAATAGAAATATCTCTGTCCATACATATTTTACACTGTTTCTCCCTCTGCAGCTTCATCAGCTTCTCCAGTGGGTCTTCATCTGAAAGAAAGAGAGAAGGGGAAATGAAAGACTGATCCAAGCCTGGTGGCTCAAATATTACAATCACTGCTGCTCAGGTTTTGCTTTGTGTAGTCAACTATAGTATTTGTTAATGCAATGAATACGCCTCAGGATACAGGAGGTGCAGTACCTTGCTTCTCTGTCTTTGCATTATCGCTATCGGGTGAATTGTTGAGGCAATCCTCCAGAAGGGCTTCCAGGCTGGAGTAGCCTGAGCCTGTCCGTCTGATCTTCTCCAGGATCGTCTTTTCCACCTCGCATGGATTCAAACCCATCTCTACGGCTTTCTGAGCCAGGGCCGACCGCAGTACCTCTGAACACAAACATGAAACATCAGTGTACACAGCCACACATTTTCTCCAGTTATATGAATTCGGTTTGACACAGATGAATTCATACTTTTCTGTTATGTTTTGTATTGATTTTCAAAATAAAATACTTAAATATTTACCATTTGTATTTCCAGAAAATCCATTCTGATGACTTGAAGTCTGAAAACAAACATGATCATAGTTATATATATATTTTCAGTACGATTTAAGTCAAATAAAAGGTTGTGATGGACAACATTACAAAACAAGGCCACTCACACAACATATATATATATATATAGAACAGAACATCAAATCATTTCTACCCACAATTTTTAATAAAGTATGATTTTGAAGCATTTACTACAGTGTCTGTATGTCTGAGTTTAATTGTGGAAATTGACTCATTTTTTTTTGTTTAATCCAAAATTTGGATTTTGGAACAAGGTAGCACCACTGAGGGAGGAATTTTAATTGTTCTGATTTCTCTTAGTCCATAACAAGATGAAGTAAATATTTTTGGTTAAAATGGAGGACAAGAAAATCTGATTATTTGGCAAAGTCAACAACAACAAGCTGTTTTTAAATGCACTGAAAGCTTACAGCTCTATTTCGTTGTGGGTCTTGAAGTTGGATGCTGTTGACAAATTCTGGACCCTTTTCTGCCAAAAGGAAGCTGCATCTGTTTAAATAAAACATGTAATTGTATTAAAACCAAAGTATACACCTTAGGATCCTAAATCTTCCCATTCTGGCAAAGACTTTTTGACCCAATTGGATATGTTGAGATGAGTGGACATCAGCGGTGCACTTACCCAGGGTAGTGTTTTGCATGCTCTTCCCAAGGGTCCTCCTCTGGCTGCCAGCCCTTCAAGCCTCCACCACAGCGGAAACACAACACCCTGTCTTCTGTCCCTGTAAGCACAGACATAATTTAGGCCTGCTTGCTTAACTATGATCAACTACCAAAGAAAATGCAAATCGCTCATAGTTTTCAAATGTTGCTTTATATCTGGTCCCAATATTCCCCTTTACTCAGACATCTGGCTCTACCTGCGTAGTGGAAGCCAGCTCTGGCGAGTCTGTCGTGATCGATCGGGTGCTGGACACCTGCGAAACTACCAAGCCTCTCCTCAAAACTGCCCATAGGGACGTGAGCGTGTTGGTGTTGACTACTGCTGCTCTCCTCCTCTATACCCCCTTGGAATGGGACGTTGCCCACATCGTGCCCAAGGATGAAGAAGCAGTAGGAAAAATGTTTGGTATGCTCTCCCCAGGCAGTGTCCCCCTGTTCCCAGCCCCCCAGCATGCCACCACAGCAGAAACACTGCACCCGGTCACTCTCCCCCAAGTAGTAGAGGCCGGCTTGGGCCAGATCCTGGGGTCGCACTGGTGCAGAAGACGGCCAAGAAGAGAAGGTCTGAAGCCGGGCCTCCTCACTCCTCATGTGAGGAGCCATAGGGTAGGTGGACTCATCAACCACCGATCCCGTTCTCAAACGATATTCCATGTCTTCTGCCTCTGCATTGCAGATGGAGCCGGGGTGGGTGCGGTGGGAGCAGCTGAGAAACCTGCATGATGGGGAGACCTGTAACAGGAGGATTGTATGATTTTAACTATATAGAAAACTAAAAACTACATCACATTTGTTTTATCACTGCTATCATGATTACCTCTTGATGCCTCTCAACAGGTCTGTCACCCCTGTGCCAGTTTTCCACAGTTTGTTGACAGCTGAAACAGCGGACACGGTCGGCCTGGCCGGTGAAGTAGAAGCCAGCCTGGGCCAACCTCTCTGCTGGCACCTGCAGGGCCAGGCTGGAGCCACGGAACGAGTCGAGGCGACTGTTCATCAGGGAAAAATCAACTAAGTGATCTGACTCCAAATTGCTGTCTTGGTTGAGATAAGACATGATAGAAGCTGCTGAGTGGGGTCAGTTGATGGACAGAATATCTGCAGAAAAAACAGAGAGACAAAATAGGTTATAGATGGAGAAGTTAAGCAAATGCTAAATGATCTATCTGAAATGTCACATAGTGCTGATCTAAGCTACAGGACGAAAGGAAACAAAGTAGCTAATGATCTAGAATACACATTCAACATAGGCTTTGTAAAGGGCCACAGTGACTTTAAAGGTCCAGTGTGTAAGATTTAGGTGAAAGGGAAGTATTGGCAGAAATTTAATGGAGAATAATCCTCATGATGTTTTCACTAGTTTGTTTCATCTAAATTGTATGAATTGTAGTTTTCTTTACCCCAGAGAAGTCCCTTTATATTTAAAGGATCCGTGTGTAGAATTTAGTGTCTAGAGGTGAAGTGTCATGTTGCAGCTGAATGCTCCTCATCTCACCCTCCCCTTCCCAACATGAAAGAGAACATGTGGTGAACTTCAGTTGTCATGAAAACTCAAAAGGTTTTAGTTTGTCCAGTTTGGACTAATGTAAAAAAACATGGCGGCCTCCACAGAGAGGACCCCTCTCCATGTAAATATAAGTTAATATACGTTTTTTAATATAAAGGGCCCATTCTATGGTAAAGAAACAAATTCATATAATGTAGATGAAACACACCAGTGAAAACATCACTAGGATTATTTTGTATTCAATTTCTGGCAAAAATCCCTATTACCTAAATCTTACACACCTTTAAATACTTTATATTTACATTGAGGGGGTCTTCTCTACGGAGGACGCCATGTTTTTTTACAGTAGTCCAGACTGTACAAACTAAACACCTTTTGAGTTTGTCTGACAACTGAAGCTACCACAGGTTCTTTTTCATGTTTGGAAGGAGAGGGTGAGGTGAGGGGTGTTCAGCTGCAATTACAACACTCGATATCACTAAATTCTACACACTGCACCTTTAAGAGTGGCAGCCAGACGTGGTCACATGGAGGCTCTGGATATCCCATGTGAGGGATGGGCACCATAGAGGCTGGGTTGTGTACACACTAAGAACACAACAATGTGGTTGTATTGCTGAGGGTGTATACCTTGGCAGTCCAACCACACCACAAAGAGACAGTTCTGCATTCATTTATAATCAGATGGAACTAAAACAATTCTTAGGAAATGCAAATAAAAACGCCAGAATAAGGAATATGTGTTGAAACTCTTTGTATAGTGATACTTTGACTTCATGGAAAAGCATGATACTCTTCCTCTTGTACATATTTTCCAAAAGGGTGGAACTGGAGCTGTACTGTATTCACACAGTGTAAAAAAAACCCTTTTTTTATTGAAGTGCATAAACTGCATTCTCAACCAAGGACAGATACAGTTTAGACTTTAGACTTTAGTGCAGGTATGTTTATTTCCCCCCAGAACAATGCACAGAGGGATAGATGTCAACTAAACCAAACTCAGTCAACATCAATAAGGTTTTATCACATTTTAAAACACAGGACCCTCGTGACCACGTTGTGCAACTATTTATTGATCCGTTGATAACTCTCTGATTCACAGTCATACAGGTCATAGTATCTTCTGGTATCTACTGGTGTCTGCACTTTATTGAGTGGAGCAGCTTGTGATCTTTTAACGATGTTAACCACGTACGCGTTTTTTTTTCCCAATAGATCATATGTTTTATGTTATAACAGCAAATAAACATAATTTAATTATATCATGAGAGCAAATCAAACATAACAACTTTTTAAAAAGGCGTTGTTAAGTCAGCAGTGTGTGTGTGATAGCAGTTGAGGCATTTTTTAAAAGATATTTAATTAGATATCTAAACTTCTTTGCATAAAGTTTGACTCGCATGCAATGAAATCCACCTTCACTGATCGTACACAAATATTAATAGTTGGATCGCGGGGAGACGTGTCCCGCAGCTTTGCGTTGTAACAGCAGCGATCTGCGTGTAAACAGTCGTGAAACAGTGACAGCTGACTCGCACTGAACGAGCTCAGTGACGTACCTTCAGTCTAAAGAACGAGCTAACCCTGAGTCCAGTGTGATCACAGCGAGACCAGAACACTTCACTTTCACCTCACAGCACTCCACAACCGTAGTCACGACACGTTAGAGAGCAGGGACGTCAAGATGTCACCTGGCGCTAGCGACAAGCGCAAGCTAGCTACGTTAGCTTAGCTATCCCCCATTACGCTAGGTCAGAAAGTTACATCCGCGAGCAGAAAACAGCCAAACTTCAGTATAATCGTGTTCATACTTTACACGCAGCTCTTCGGTGTTCGGTTCCAGCCAGTCCCGGTGTGACCACCGCCCACAGGAGAGCGACGATCCACACAAGTGTTTATTTTATATGACCTCTCTTCCAGGAAGTGGAAGCAGCGCAGTGAAGACCTGCGCATGTTCTCGTGCGCGCCCCTGCTGCTCGCCATTGTGACGTCAGGAAAAGTAGGGCGTTATGCGGGGTCTCGGGATCTCCAAAAAACCCACGTGTAACTTTTTTATAGACGAGAAGACATACTTCACTTTCATTTTTAGTCATCATTAACATATGCTGATGTCTTACATGCATTATATCATAAATATACATCGATACATTCAATATTGATTCTTCTATGTGTACAACCTTGATTTTTACTTGAGTAGTTTTAATTTTTGAACTAATTCAATATTATATTATATCTCATATATATGATGAAAATGCTGCTTAGACATTAATGGATAAGTAATACATTTTTCAATAATATAACATATAGTATAAACTGTGGTATTTACACTTCAAATTTAAATGTAATAACTAATAAAATATGCCCCACCTCATCTATATATAATGAATATGGTGCTTACACTTTATTGGATGGGTACTAATTTTTCCATAATATAATATATATTATTCTGATAGAACTGTATACATTGTACTTTTGAGTTTTACCTACAGTATTCTACATTGTTGTATCTAAGGATCTGAAAACTTTTGAACCACTGTTTGTAGTTATTAGTCATGTTTTTATGTTACAGACACTGTAATCAAAGCTCCACATCATTTTTAAATAAAGACTGAGGACCAATGTGAGTCTATTTAGAGTCTTTTTTATTAAACTGGGACCAGGCACATCAACCAGAGCCTAGTCTCAGAATCTTGTCCAGGTTCATAAAGAAGTTATCTGAGAGAGGCAAAACTAAGAAATGCTTTCAAAATATTCCCAAGCTCACAGCCAACAGCATCAGTGATGGGTGTGGTTAGGTGTGGTGTGAACTGAGCTTTGTCTACCTGTAAACACACTTAAGAGTGATCTAACAGGGTGCTGGAGCACACCTGTATGTTGCTGTGAAACAGGACATTCAGCAGTTCATATTTTCATTACCCATTTCAGTGTAGCTCTCTATTAATGGCAATGCTTAGGCAGAGATTTCCACAATACATAAAGAAGATGAGGGTGTGAATAGAAGCTATTAATAAAATGACAACATGAAAGTAAACATGGATCCACAGTACAGTGGCAACACAGTACATATTGGATCCACTGATTTTATGTATAACAAATAAATACATCTCAAACAAGTTGTTAAGAGGCTGAACACTTTCTTTTATTATGTCATTTTTACTATGATTTAAACTTGATAGAAAACAGGCTGCAGTGTTAGACAGCGCTTAATGCAGGAGAGCGTCTGCACAACTTCAAATCCACGTCTGGGGAGCTGTTCCGTTCAGTCCAACTTTCCTTCTTGATGCCGTCTCATCTCTCACCTCATCTGAATGTGTGCCACCAGGTGGCTCAAGGAGGACTAACTGAGATGAGACTACTTTATATTGAACTTGGCAATGGAGGGGATTCAAGCTGCAATATGACTTGTTGGTCAGTAAACACATCATCCCTCCACGATCCGACGAAGTATGTTACCCAGACTACCCTTTGCTATCTGGAGTGGGGTCTTCTCCTCTTTGTTCTCGATGTAGATGCTGGCTCCGTGTTCCACCAGTAACTTGGCTGCTTCCACACGCTCCTCATCGCATGCCAGGTGGCTAGTGGAAAAAAGAATAGATACAGAATTTAAAATGCAAAAATACTTTTCATCAAATACTAAGTTCCTTGTGCCAGCAGCCACAATGCTGTGTTAGACAAATACGAATTCCAGCTTACAGTGGTGTGTTGCCCTGTGAGTCCTGGATGTTAGTTGAGGCACTCTGTTTGAGGAGCAGCTGGATGAGGCGGTAGTTTCCCTTGGCGGACGCTCGGTGGAGGGGAGTAGACTCATACTTGTCGGTGACATTGGGGTCTGCCCCATTTTCCAATAACAGCAAGGCAATCTATAAAGAGGGAAATTTGTGCTACTCATAAGTCATTGGCAAGTGTCAGAGATTTCCCATTTACATGAAACACTCATTTCCAGATCTGGTCAGCTTTAGGGGGATGCCACGGTTCATATGTCAAAGTTCTAACCCAGCGTAGGAAGTGAGAGTGAAACTAGGGTCAGAGTCTCTTATACAGCAGAAAAAACTGTGGGTGAAACTGTGGGTCTATTTAATTCCCAAAATGAGTTATGTTTCTTAAATTTGTAGAAAATGTAGTCAAGTTATTAAATCCAACAAACACATGCACAAGTGAGATGTCTAATTTTATTGTGACTTCCTGTAGTAATGTTTCATATTCTGTGGCCAGTGCATTACTTATTGTTGCAGTTACGATGCAATCAATTAACTGAATGTGTTTCAATGCTTTCTATCAAGAGGAAGTGATGTCATAAGTGGTCCCACAGAGACCAATCCAACTTCCTCTTTAAAGAATCACTGCCTAAAGGAAATTCTCAATGAAGTGCAGCTACAGACGCCCCTTGGTAAGAACCCGGCACCAACTGAAAGTAAGAGTCATGGGCAGTTGGAGGGGAAATGATTAACTTCCTCTGGAATTTTGGCACACAGACTCATGAATTCCATTAACATTATCAATATTTCACTCAGTTTCATTTAGTGTGCTTTTAAGTGTCAAAGACATCCACGGTTTCAGTGTAAAATAAATACATGGCTAAAATGGTTGGAGCAGATCGTATAAATGTCAGTCTGAGGCTTAAGATCAAATGTCTCATATTCAAAAAACTTAAACTGAAAAGATTAAATTCTCTGGAGTTGGTAGTCAGTGTTTGATTGGCATGATTGCCAGGACAACTTAGTAATGAATGGATATGAAAACATGTTTTTGAGACTTATGGTTGGGTTCCTCATTTCTGTTTTCTCATTTTAAGCGTAT